TTTCTAAAGTTTTAACAGTCAACCCTAAGTTTGAAGTCCTATTTATGATAAAGGCTGAAACTGCTATTAAACTAAATTTACTTTTCACCTTTCTACAATAGAAGATTTGTTTGGGCTTTTGGTTTCTTGCACTGTTTGTGGAATATCTTAATTTTAGTTTTCCTGGCTATCATAATTCTCTAGTACATAAATGTTTACTGAAAATTGCCTTACATTGCATTATCAGGTAAATGGACATTTAAATGGAGGCCTCTAGGTTTGTGCAATGCTAGTTCTAAATTACAATGATACATGCATTGTGTTATTAATCCATATGTTAAAAACAGTCAAACTGGGATTACTTCTTTGTTTCCCTTCCTTCTTTCTTTGAAGATACTTGTTTGCATGTACTTTTAATTCCACATCTGATAGTTTAGCATATGGATATAATCATCATGTGTTTTCTTCCTACTGGTACTTTCCTAATTTAAAGTTCAGTCCTGGATGCTGCATTTGAATGACAGATTTTACAAAAAAAAAAAAAAAAAACATCCTGTCGGGCAAGTTTCTGACCTATTAATTTCTCTGGTTTTTCTTTTTAATTTTGCTACTATACATTACTTTGTTGTATGCCAGTAGCATCATGATAAAATAAGCACCGTTAACCTGCTGAAAGAATCAGCATCGGGAGGTTAAGGGTTAATTTACCAGACAGAAATCTCATTAGGTTTTCATGATTTTGCTGTAGTCAGCCACATACTTAGCTGTTATTTTATTGAGTCTGCTATAGACTATGTTTTAAAAGTTGCTGCTCAACAGTTGTTTGGATTGACAGCATCCCTTTTGTTGTATAGCAGGCCCACAAGTACATCCCATTTACTGGGGAAATGCCTGGAAGGAATAGTTAGGGTAAATAATTTCAGAAAAACAAGTAGGATTTTTTTCTTAACTTAATATTGTTTTGAAATATACTTGCCTATTAAATTTCAATTGTAACTATCCTTTTTTCTGATGGATTTTCTTTGGTGTAAGCATAATTTTATGAAGGTGTCCAAAAGGTTTATTTTTTCAGCATAAAGCATTTTTGAGTGTAATTCTCTGTCTTGTTATCAAGTCAGTTCGTGCTTTGTTTTGGTTTGTTTTTTTTTTTCCATATTGACTTTATATCTTATCATACTGGATTATGATGGTTTATTTCTTTATTTGAAAATGTGGTTAAATTCTTCTTTTATTTTCTGGGAGAAACCGGTGTTTATAAAATCTTCTTTTTGTTCTGTCTGTTGGGATTTACTTTTGTTCCTTATGTTACAGTAATTATTTGTAGCTCCAGAGTGTGTCAAATCAAGCAAGAAATATATATTTCATTGCCCTCTTTCAGGTGAGTGAATTATATATTGCCATTATGAAATGGAAATTATATATAATTTTCAATATGTAGTAAAGCTTTATAGCTTAATTGAACGTGTCTATTTCTAAAACAAGTATCTCACTTCTAAACTAGTTCAATTAGGAAAGTTGGATTGTTTTAAGCAATTTTTTCTAGTAAAATAAATTCAGCACATCTTTTTTAGAATATTTTCAATTTAGTAAAAACCATTCAGTCTTTTCAACTAAAAAGTAAAATTATTTTGAGGTTACTTTTTAGTTTTCTAAAAGGATTATTTTTTAAAAAAAGGTAAGAGTACTGTTTTCTGAAAACAGTAGTTAAAACAAAAAATGTGTAGAAAAAATACAAAACAACGTTGCAAGAATTTTGGACAAAAATGCAAAATTACAAAATAATTGCTGTGGCCACAACAGTTTACATGTACAGGTACATGTACAGGTATGACCGGTGATGGTACAAGACTGCATTTCTGCACACAGACCTTGGAGAGGGTTGCCAGTAGATATGTGGGTTGTGGGTTGTTTTGTGTTTTTTTTTTGTGTTTCGTTTTGTTTTGTTTTGTTTTGGGGTGGTTTTTTTTTTTTTGTTGTTGTTGGTTGATTATTTTTTTTTTTTTCCCCCTGTGAGCATCTATCTCTTAATAGTTAATGAAGTTTCCCTGAGTACCACTCAGCACAGTGGATGAACAGAGATGAGGACAAAGAGGGCATCAGAATAGCTTTACTTTTCCTTCCCAGCACATGTGGAAGGGTCAGCTAGGGAGAGGAGGGAGGGAAGAGGCGTGCGGTGTGGGGAGTAACAGCAAGCAATACAGTGTGTCTCCTGCCACAACACGTTTAATGCACGGCTTCCCTCGGAGTTACAGCCCAACTGGGAGCACAGAGGGCTCGGCTGTTGCAGAGTGCCAACCTCCTCTGGCTACGTAAACCAGGGTGCCAAACCTGTGGCCGTGGGGGTGTGTGGGCTGGAAGGTGGCCACAGTGCCGTGCCAGCTGCCTGTGAGGCGCGGGCTATGGTGTAGGGAAGCGCAAGGTGGGATCCAGCAGTGCAAATTTCACAGGCAGTACTGAACACCTGATGGGTCTGAGGTCCCTCCGAAACTTCAGTTGAGGCTGGTTTAATTAGCTCGTCTGAATGACACACCAACAATTTTTAGTGCACGGTTTAGAAGAGTACGTGGTAAAGTCCTGCCCTTCGGGAGTGGGTTGATGGGTGGCTCAGACATCCGCTCAGCAGGGTGGGTTGGACAACTGGAGATGGTAACTTCATCAGCTCCGCCGGTCCAGGGGTTAAAGCGGCCATGTGCTCCCCATGGACTGCTCTCTAGCCACAGGCTCCCCACAAGACCATCATCCCAGGCTCAGCAGCTCTCTAGTCTGGGTACGGGTATAAATAAGAAAATGATGGCCTTACTATCCAGAAAATTTCATTTATAGCTGGAGCATTTTGTAGAGTTTTATTCCCCTATTATAACACAAAAGTGGCTTACAGGAGCAGCAACTGAGACACTTGGCCAAGAACACAATAAAATGGTTATAGGTTTATTCAACATTTAGCATATCATTACTTTTTTTATAATTCCAGGTGTGCTGGGGTGTGCGCGGTGGAAACAGAAGCACCAAGAACACTGAAAACAAGCTGCTGGTGGTGGAAATTTTCCCTGACAAGGCAGTATGGGAAGGACAGAAGTGGCGGGAACATGGTGCTTCCCTCTTCCCTGGCTTGAGAGGACAAGTGGCAAGTGAGTATGAACAGTGAGATCAGAAATGAGAAGGAAGGAAATAAAAAAAAAAAAAAAGGAAAAAGGTTGTGGCAGAAAGTAATATGCTCCCTAATAGAGTGCAGCAAAACAATTGTAAATTTCAAAGCAAAGTAGTACAGAAGAAGTAACCTGAATATTGTTGATACCACTGCAGGCAATTTATGCAAAGGCAGGTTTCTTTGGTTGTCTTTACACCCTTAGCTATAAAGCAAGCCCTCAGAAAGGGCTGAGGGCAAAGCTGGACCTGCTAGCTTGGGGCTCTGCTTGTTAATTGCTGAACTACATCAGATCACAAAAATCTGAAACTTTGTATCTCGCAGCAAGACCGAGTCATGAATACCTAAATTTACCACCTGATCCCTGTGATACCTGGAATTCAGTGCTCAAAGAGAGGACAAATATAGCTGTTATGAAACCACACAATCTGCTTTGGTACATTTTGGCAGTTCAGAAAGGGAAGAGTTTTTGGACGCAGCCCTCCAACAGCTACTCTATACAGAGAAAAGAAAGCTCACTTTCTTTGAGAAGTCCTCAGAAAAATCCTGAGCTTGATAGGTCCTGGCATCGCTGCACCAAAAAAACCCCTAGATCCGGAGCCTGAATGCTGCCAAATTCTGTCCACAAAACCTAGAAATTATGTCATCCTAGTAGACATAACAATTGCTTTCTATGATTCAGCTGAAGAAAAAAAAAAAAAAAAAAAAGGAAACAAACCCCAAAAGACAGTAAAACCCTAACCCAACAGCCCTGGGATGGCACCAGCTCCTGACAGAGCAGTGCAAAACCTCCGCCGGTGCGGTGTGAGCCTTCGCCACCGCGCTCACCTCTTCCTCACCTCCGGGCTCCGGCCAAGTCCTGCGGGACTGCTCTGCCACGGGGAAAGGCGCTTCTGTGTGAGTGCGCGTGTGTGTGTGGGGGCTGTTATTTTTACTTCTCGGAGTCAGGGAGGCTAAACTTTTTTTTTTTTTTTTTTTTTTTTTTTTTTTTTTTTTTTTTTTTTTAAAGTAAATCATGTGAGGGGAGGGAGTTGCCTTGCTACCCGGGGCTGTGCGTGTAGGGGACACGGTGTGACCGCACCGGGATCCCGGGACCCGCGTGGCGGGCCCCGCCGCGCATCCGAGTTGTGATTTCCGACACCAACACCGCCCCCCCCCCCCAACCCCCCCCCCCAATCCCAAACCACCCCCCCCCCAACCCCCCAACCCCCCCGCCCACCCCCGGCAGAGAAGCCGGGGGGGGGGGGGATCGCAGAGTCGCCCCCCGCGCTGGCGGCGGGGGCCGGGGCCGAGGGGGCCGGGGCCGAGGGGGCCGGGGCCGAGGGGGCCGGGGCCGAGGGGGCCGGGGCCGAGGGGGCCGGGGCCGAGGGGGCCGGGGCGGCGCGGCGATCCGGCGATCCGGCGGGGGGCGCGGGGAGCCAATGGGCGGCGGGGATCCGCCGGCGCGGCTCGGGGGCCCCTGGAGGAGGAGGAGAGGAAAAACCACGGGATTGAGCTCTGTCAGTGGCGCTCGCCGCTTCCAAGGGGGGAAGTGCCGGGGAATAATTAATGTTTTTATTAAATTTGGAGGGAATTTTTTGCAGCCGATCGCCGCGCGTGGCCTTCAGGTGGGTCTTCCCCGCAACTTTGTCCGCCGCCCCGCAGGATTTGCGTGGCGGTGGGTTGCAGGAGCGAGCCCTGTGGGTGGGGGGGGTGGGGTGGGGGGAGAAGGTGGCTGGGTGCGTGGGGGGGGGGGGGGTGGGGTGCGTGGGGGGGTGGTTGGGTGCGTGTGAGTGTGTGTGCGTGTGCGTGTGCGTGGCTGCGGCTGGCGGGCGCTGCCGCCGTGAGGTGCGCGGCGAGCCCCGCCGTTCGCCATTACGAGTTGAGCACACGTTTTGCGAGAGTCGGGGCTGCCACTTGCGCCGATCGCCCGGGGGATACGGCGGGGAGTGTAAATAAAACCCTGCCTCTCGCCCTGCTTGCTGCCGCTGCCTCGAAGTGCTTTTGCTCCGTGTTTTCCTGGCAGAAGCGTGTAACCCAGGTGAAGGCAGAGAAGGGAGGGTTGTTTTTTATGAATGGGACTCTTTGAGGTTAATTAGCTATGCAAATTCAAGCAGTTCATTCATGATTTTTTTTTTTTTTTTTTTTTAAATCTAAAAGCCATCTTGTATTCCCCTCTAGGCTGATTGGAGTCCAGATCCCGAGGAAATCTCCAGATCAAATGCCCAGTAAATAAAACACTGAGCTAAGACTTGTGGAAGAGCTGCAGAATGGATGGATTTTATGACCAGCAAGTGCCTTACATGGTCACCAATGTGAGTGATCAGTTCAAAGTTGGTGTTTATAAACTTGACTCCGACTTATTTCTGTGGGGGAGTTTTGCAGAGTATCTGCTTTGTTCCTGCTGTAGGGGTGACTCTTCATCTGGGAGCTTTGCCTGCAAGATGAGCCTATCTTCCTAGTTATTTCAATAAAGCATCATGTTCTTTTAAAGACAGTTTTGGGATGATTAAAAAATCATGCACACGATTAGCGGATGAGAGAAGCAAGAGCAGCAGCAGCTGCATTCAAAGTTTCTGGCTGCGTTTGCCTGCAGCGCTCAGAAGAATGAAGTTGAGGCAAACGTTAACATTTTTTTTTTTTCTTTTTCAGGACTTTTCAAACAATGTTATAAGTAGCACAGGGAAACAAAGCAGTCTATTATAATCTCAAATCTGGGTTCTCCTGTGTAGCATATGCAGAGGGGATTTATGTGCTATTGTGTAGGTTTGTGTACTTTAGATGCTAAAAATACATAGTTGGTATTGTGTTGCTGTTTGAACACATCCTATATGTATCTGTACAAATAGATGTCTACATAGGTAGATAGAAATGTGTTGCATTTAGACACAGGAATCTTTTGGAGGATGTTAGGTGCCCAGAAATATCTTCTGCCACAAAGTGGAGGCTGCAAGAGGATCATTTCCCTGTTTGAAAATGTAAAGAATTCACGTCGGCTTTGAGTATTCTTGATTAAATGAAAGAAAAAAAAAAAAAAAAAAAAAAAAGAAGAAACCCTCAGATTTCTAAAGTAACTGATCTTTCCTGTTTATAGAATCCGCGTGGGCGAAACTGTAATGAGAGACCGACAAATGTCAGGAAAAGAAAATTCATTAACAGAGACCTGGCTCATGATTCAGAAGGTGAGGGCTTGTTGTTTCCCTCCTCCCTCCTCCCCCCCCCCCCCCCCCCTTACTTACTAATGCAGAGAAGCATTTTCAGAGCTATTTATTTATTTTGGAGATAAATATATCTAGATCAATCCGAATAAACAAGACAAGAAAATTTCATTTACTACTGCAAAACAAGCTGTTAAAAAGTAAACTGATAAAGTTGATATTCTTTACTTACCCTGTTGCATTTTAGGTGCTGCTGCACATGTGGCACACAGGTGTCGTGTACTGAAGCCAAGCCTTTGCTGCATCTGACACAAGTCATGGCACCTGGCTTTTTCACCTTCAGGCCTCTTGAGGTTCAGGGCTTTCCTCATTCCTCTCATCTTTTAACATCCTTTTCACTGGTGGTAGCAGGAGCAAAAATGCTGGTGTGGAGACTGTTGGTTTTCACTCTAGTTTTGCTGTAGAGCTAATAGTCAGGCTCCTGATGTCTGGCAGCCTGTTTCTATTGATGGTAGGGTTAAAAATCCCGGGAAATACAGTTAAGGAAGTCTAGAGTGGACAAAGTTTTGGAAGGCCTAAGATTTGTTACTTAGTCTTATCAGTAGCCACTCACATGATTGTAGCTTGAGAACTGTAGTCTAGCAATAGCTGTTAACACTTGTTCAGGTTGCAAGGTCAGTATAGGTGCTATGCCTACACCCCTGTAAGTATATAAGACATATAGGAAGGTATATAGGGGCCTACAACTTGCCCCTATATAAATATTACTAGGGTGAGGACACACTTTGCAAAATCCCTACTTACTTGTTTGGAAAAGTTTATTCTAGGGTAGATTGAAAAGAAAACAACTTACTGATTTTCAGTTAAATGATTTCCTAACATGAACATGAGGTATCAGTCCGCAGGATAAATGGATAGCCTCCGTAATTTAAGTGTATGTAAATAGTTATCTGTCAGCATTCATAAAAGAGGAAGTCTCTCTCAAAATACAGTAAATTAAAAATAAACCATTTGTCAGTTCAAATATTCTACTTGGTAAACAGAATTTTCATAACTGAGTTTCTGAGCTTTACAAGCTGAATGCTGCTCTCGTTTACACCCATTATGAGCAACTGATTTCAGTGAACTGCAAAAAAAGATAAGCTGCTGCAAAACTCAGTCCATGGAGAAAGTGGTTTCACTTTAAAGAAGTACAGTGAGTATAGCATAGAGAAAATAGTGATGATTCTCTTGTCATACAAAGTAAAACGTAAGGGGAAGCACAAAAGATTTCCCATTTCTGTTTGATATGGTAGCATCTCAGGTCTTTGCTTCAGAATTTTTCTATGACCCTACTAATAAAAATACTCAGTCATTGCTCAGGCAGAACTCCTGTTGAAGTCCGAGAGAGCTTTATCTGGGGCAGATAGTGCAGGAGGAGGCCTGAATTGTATAAGGAGAAATAGTTCACCTGTAAGAAGGATTATAATTTGAAACTTCTATGTATTGCTGAATGAGCCTTTTACACTACAGAGCTTGGTTAAGATTCTGGTTATTATTTCAAAGGTTAATAAAGTAATAGAGTAAGTACTTCTTTTTTATTAATAGGCGTGGAAAAATCATTAACTGCAACCCGAAAATACCTACTTTGTATGTTTGACTGCCAAATTAGAATTGATGTACATTGTTCTTCAGGAAAAATACATTTTCGAACATATTTTAATCTTACGAAGAGATTAAAGGTGTGAGTCTTTTATCCCTGTCTTCATCTTTTTGCAGAACTCTTTCAAGATCTGAGCCAATTACAGGAGACATGGCTTGCAGAAGGTAAGGGAAAAAACTGCTTGTAAAAAGAGGAAAAACAACTCTGGAGGGGGAAGAAAAAAAAAAAAAAAAAGTCCTGAACTTGCTGTCTTAATGTTCAGCCCAATTAATTGAGCTCTAAAAGAGCCACCTCATGTGTCATGCATACATTAGAGCCTCTGATGAGTTTGTCTTTGGGGACTCTGGGGCTGCTCTACCCAGTGTCATCACAAATTACCAGGAGAAATTGCTTCCAGCTCACAATCACATCTGCTTTTGGCAAGAACTAATGCACCAAGACTTGAAGTTCTAAGCCTCTGTTCAGATTTTAATTGCAATTGATCAGGTTTATATTATTGTACCTCGAGAGACTACATACAGCCAGAACTGGGCTTGCTGTTTCCTTTAGAGCAGCACGTATAATTATTTGGTGTTCTGGTGGAGTACTTTTCTGATGGCAGAAATTAGTTTCTCTGGGTTCATCGGGACGGGATGCTTCAAGATTTAAGTGCAAGTGTCTTCTTTCCACCTTGTTCACAACACAGAACATTAGGTGTGTATGGAATACTTAAAAAGTACTATTTCTTTCTTCTTTTTTTTTTTTTTTCCCTCAGAAACCTTTAAATATTTTGCATGTTATTTTTGTCTTCATATTTGTAGTTGTGAGATTGTGTACTGGGTGATTAGAAAACTGACATTGGTCTGTTTTACACCTGCTTGTGCTTTTAAGTATTTCAAATAATCTTGCAGAGCACATTCTGCTGAAGAGAGAAGGTTTAAGAACAATAATGCAGAAATCTGAATTTAGAGTAGCTGTTGAGAGATTAATTTAACAACAAAATGAGCTGCTGCATTAAGAGAACTTTAACAAAATGCAAGGTAGCTTTCTGCTTGTTGAAGTGTATTTGTTTTCTTCAGCAATATTTTCTGTTTTTTTTTTTTTTCCTTTGATATTTACAGTACTGTTTATTTGAAGCATAAAGATTTTTATGCATTGTTCTTAATATTTATGGTTGAAGTTTTTATGTAAACTTCTGCATCTGAAATAGACATGATTTTGATGCATGTTAACATAATCTCTCCAAATTTATCCTGATTTAAATAAATGTAAGTATTCACATGTTTATTTTTTATCATGTATTGGACTATGCACAGATGTTTATAGAATAGATGTTCTTTGTTTTTGGAAAGGAGGGATGTTGGGGTGAAATGCTTGCTGTTGGTTTTCTTAGAAAGAGGGAAATATTGCTGATGACTACTTACCTACATACTGATTCTGTTTTAACAGCTTTATATGTAGTTAGTCAAGTTCTTAACCTATAAGTTGTGGGGTATTGTTTATTTTGCTGACACGTTTATTCTCCTGGCATTATTTTTAGCATGTGGTTATTCTGTATATAATCAAAAAGTCCTCTTTAAATTAACAGAAGATATATTTTTCTGAATTAACATGATTCTTTCATAATTATTGAAAACAGGATGTCCTGTACTAAGATCATTTTTGTAGGATAATGATCAGATACAACTGTAGCTGTCTCCCTGTGGTAATTTTCCAAAGGATCTCTTTTTTTTTTTTTTTTTTTTTTTTTTTGTATTATTCATTCTAACAAGCCAGAAGTATTTTAACATACTACTCGAAAGATGCTATTTTTTGATGGAGAGGAGAACTTTTAGTTTGATTTTTCGCAGGCATGGATGTTTTTGTTTCTGAAAATGATTGAATTTCTTTAATCAGAAGTCAGAAAAATACAGTCAGATTCATAATGCATGTGCAGATAATGTAAGTTTGAAAAATAATATGAAATTTAAAACTGATTTAATCATTTCTGTAGGTACATAAATTACTGTAATGGGCTGTAATGGCAGTTTTTATTCTGGAGGCACCGCTTATTTTAGACTAAAAAGAATTGTTTGAGAGCCTTTTTTTTCCTCTTCATCTGAGTCTATTTCACTGAATAAATTTAGATATGTTTTGAGAGAGAAAGGTGTCTATTCCTGTGTCAGCTAGGTCAAGGAACCTTTGTAAAAAGCAGATAGCATCGTCTGGTAAGTATTTAAAAATGCATAAAAAAAAAGCTGCCTTTTCATCTAGCAGAGGATAATAAAGCCAAATAATGTTATATTTTTCCCACAGCATATTACAACTAAATATTACAGATTTTCCAGTGTTCTAGAAATACTTTAAGGCATCTATGTGTTTCAGGCCATGCCATGGTTTTAGCTGTTCCATAAAACACAAACTTTTCACAGCTTTTCTAAAGGCTAACTAAAACTGAAATAAGTCAAGATGAGAAAATCAAATATTGAGCTATTAACTTGATCCCAAATCTTTATTAAGCAAATGCACTCAATACAACTTCTGGTAGTCTTTATAATATACTAGTGTTTGAGGATATTGTAGCTCTGCTCAAATGTCTAAATGGATGAGCTTAGCCAGGAAACAGATTTTGAAATCAGACTTGTTTACCCATTGCTAGATGTGTCCATTTATGTTCTTCTGGACCTTCATAGGCTAGAAGTCTGCCAATTTGGCAGCATCAGTAATGTTTACATATTTCTCTTCATAATGCTCTGGAGCCAGGGAAATGACCATGAAATTTTAAAACATCTTGACCCGTTTTAAGAAAAGCAGTGGCAGCTGACCAGGTTTCTCCCACGAGTTCAGATCCCCACTGGGGAGTAACCAGGTCAAAAATCTACTTACTAGTTAGGAGAAGAAAGTGAATTGCATTTTTTGACACACAAAAAATGCTTGTGGATTTTTTTGTTCTGTTTTTCCTGAAGCTATCCTTACTACATCACATAGTTCAGCCTGGAGATTTTTACAGTTAGTGTCACCTGTGACAAGTTGGTGGTAAACACGTAAATAGAGAGGAAAGGCATTCTCTTCCTATTGAAAATGGTGGGAGGTTCACATGTATTAAAGCGCTAATCCAAAATGTAAACAATTCAGTTACCTCTTTAATATTTTATTACTCCATAATTAACAAGCTGAATACCACTTACAGAAAACTTACAAATGTGTTCCACTAGCTGCATACTGGATTTTTATGGAAATGAATTTTGCTTCTTACTCTGTGTAGTATTAAATAAGTAAGAAAGAATTTAAATTATTTTGTTGTAAAACTTACTCTGAATAAAGTTCCCTCATGTCAGTTGTTATGCAGGACAGAAGATAGACTATAACTGTTTCCTGATGCTAGAAATTGAAAGTGGGAAGCTTTTAATAATTGTTTTAACCTTCAAACTTGAGAGGAAATAGTTAAAATTGCCTATTGCTAAACAAGGAAAATATTATTCAGGTATTACCTTTTGTTTTATATTTAAATAATTTGATGGCAACATTTTGTCATGATAATATTATAAAATGCCTTTATTGATTCTGTATATTTGGAATCAGATTGGTTTTGGCAGATAGCAATTGTTCAGTGACTTGAAAAAAATGGTTCAAATGTTAATCTAATGTTATCCTGTCATGGTAGCTCTTCCTTCTTATTCTGGAATAAAATGAAGAGAGAGAACAAATTCTTAGTGGGTGAGTGGCTCCTTTCCATGGTGAAAGCATTGGGTTTTGGGAGAATAATAGGTTAACAAACCCCCATATTTTTATTTAAAATGACTTTCAGATACTAGTTCCTCCTATAGCTTGTTAAAAGATACATAAAAGTTATCCCAAGCAAAGACAGATGATGAATTTATGCACTGAATCTGCTTCGTAGAGCAATAAATAAATGCTTCTCAGATGGTAATAAACTGAAAAATAAAATATAATGTTCTTTGGGTGACTTGAAAAAATATAAACCAATTAAGTGAACAGTAAGTGGTTTGAAACAACAGCTACAGGTAACGGGTTCATGCTTCTTCTGCAGCGTAGCTAAATTGAATGTATGGCTACTACAAGCTACCAGTATATAAAATCCAGTTCTCGGTATCTGAAAGTAAGTTATTTCTCTTAAATAATTAATACCCAAATTTGTAATGAACTTTAGGAAATAAGTTTCTGCGCTCTGTCTTCCTGTTGTGAAGGATGCACCAGTGTTGAGGTGATGCCTAGGCTAGTGTTGACTTCTAGTTTATTTCTTAAATGATGAGATATGAAAATTAGTTTCTAGTTCTCAATTGGTTATTCTTAATAAAAGAAAGTACTAGATATTCAAATATTAGTCTAGTTAGAGTGGCTTCACTTAAATCAGTGAAGATATGTAGCAGCTTACGCTGGCTAACTAGCTTGTTTCTGCCAAAAAAAAAAAAAAGATGAAAAATTTACCCAGTGTAAGGCAAATGCTATGTAACCATATTCAAGAACTATCCACATTGTTATAGGAGCAAAAATAGTCAATGAATGATAATTTAATACCTCCATGGGTAAAATCTGTTTTACGGAGACTGCCCTAAAAAGCTGTGAAAATTTTCATTTTGGAATTTGTAGTACAGAGAATAGCTTTTTTTTTTTTTTTTTTTTTTGTTCTAGTGCTCTGACGGATTTGGCTTTCACATATTCTTATCTCTTGATTTTAAATATCTGTGCACAAAAAGAGAAGAAAAAGTTAGACTAGGCAAAAGGGGGGGGCAGAATGGGAGGAGAGGAGGGGGATGTTCTTTTAAAACGAAATAAACGCATTAGAAATCTAGAAATCTGAGTCTGTGTAGTAATAAACTTTCTAACATTTTCCTTGTTTGCTGGAAAAGTAAATGCCTTTTACTCAAAAATTTTCAAAGGCATAGTGGGGTTTGCAAACCATGAGGGATGTAGCAAAATGTTAAATATGAGTGTTCCTTTTAAGCTAACTTTTTTTCTCCTTTTTAGTATAGCAGCAAATGAAGAGCAGATTCTGCAAACCCATCTTCATATTCTTAGGGATTATTCACATAAGTAAGAATTTTGAGATCTGGAGCTAGTTTTGAACTGCATTTAAGTTTATTAGTCAGAGCTTCTCACGTTATGTAAAAAGGGGTTTAGGTTGTTTTGACAGCATATCCAGTGCTTATGGGAAATAATATTTTTTACCATCTTGAAATTTGTCACTGTTTTGCCATCTGAATGCTCCTTTGTTAGAAACAGTTGCTCCCGTGGAAGAAAAACCAACAACCAGCCCCCCTCCCCCCTCACCCCCCAGCTCTTTCAGGAATACTTACAATTTATACAATCTTTCAGATATTCAGAAGTGACAATGAATCAAAGAAAACTCAATAGAGTCATTACTGTTGAGGCCTGAAGTCTTATTTTAGCTGAAGCCAAAATACTACCGTTCATATATAATTTCCTGTGAATTTCAGTTTCTTTTGCCACTTTGAATAAATGATTGATATTTTAAAATGTATTGCTCTTAGCTCTAAAAGTGAAGTGTGAGGTCAGAGAACACAGTACTGCAGGAAGTGTTCTGCTACCCAAAATACAGTTTTGTGAAGCGAGGAGGTTTGCAGCTTCTTGTTTTTCTGGAAAGTTTCCGTTTTTTAACAGGAACACCTTTCCCTGGAGTGCAGCTGAGTTTTTGGAAGCAGTTTGTGGTTGGGAGAAGGAAGAGTTAAATTTAAGCCCTTTATAGTTCGCTTAACTTTTCATTTATTAAATAACGTTCCTCAGCAGGTCTGTGCTGCATCTTGAGACAAAGCAGTGAAATCAGTGTGTTTATGCCTAAAGTTCAAGTTTACTTTGCTGTAGCTTTCTGGAAGGGTGTGACATGAAAAGCTTGTGGTTGGGGCCACATGGTTCATGCTGGACTGTGTTTTTGTGAATGGAGGCAGAACTCCAGTTCTGACTGCTTGTCTTGAGGAATTGCTTCGGAGATCAGCTGTCTCATTCACTGGCAGAAAGAATGACTCATACATCTTCTGCCTTGTTTGGCTCCAGGTCATTGTTACAGTGGATAGAGCTGGTTTTAATTAAATATTAACTCCTTTTGTCCTGGATGCTTGTTAATGGGGACTTTTCATTTTTGTTTACTTGCAATGAAAGCAAGCTAACAGGCCCTAGTTCTAAGCTTCCCCCCCTCCTTCCCCCCCCCCCCCCCCCAAATTGCTTTCCCTTTGCAAAATAAGCTGTCAGTTCAGCTTTTCAAAGGCTTTTTAAAGCTCCAAAAACTACAAACAAGTATTAAGTATTTTTGTGCTGTGAATGTTTGCTTTTGTCAAACTGATTTTAACTCAGTAGGTTGTGAAACTGTAAAATCTAAACTGATAACATCCTCAATATGATCATTAACATTTCTGTACACTTCCCAAATCCTCTTGAGACATTATAGCTATAATCAGAAGAAAAAGAAAACTTTTGGTAATAATCTAGGCTGTGCTGGATAGTTTATGCTGCAGATGTTGTCTGCTTCAGGAGTCTGAGACTTGATGGCTCTGAATGTGGAATGAACTAATGTAGCTGCTTCTGCTATTAGCAGTAAAAGCCACGTGCTTAATATCCTTCAAAACCTTTTATTAGTCTTTTGGAATATACTTGCCTTCTCAAACCCCCATAATTAAGTAGCTCAGGGAAATATTCTCATTCAGTTAGATGATCTTTTCAGATATCTTTTTCAATTTTCCTCTGAATGGCAAAGAAAAAAAAAGTTTTGGTGATTTATGCATTGTTGAGTATGTTAACAGAAGACCAATGAAGATTTTATAGCAGCCTTGCTGAATTGCAGTATTTGTGAATAAAAGGAAAGGGGAAATGAATGGCATATATATATAAATACGCAGACAGTTGCAACACTGAAAGTTGTATTTTCCTTTTGGACGTTCAGGCGGAAGAGTCTTTACCTGTCTGTTTAATTTGCTGCAGAGTTGTGTTTGTAATTACCCAAACTCAAGGTACTCTCTTCCCTTTGAGTAGTGGGATGATGCATCCCGATTATTTGCGCTCTCACAGCAGGATTCCGGTGGAAGAAGTCTGTTGATGGTTGCTTGCATTTCTGCAGTATGATCATGTGCAAGTCTCAGTTCTGCTAGTTTAAAAATAATGCCAGATTATACAAAGGAATAATTCAAGTTCTCGTTTCCAACATTTAGCAGTTCTTTTAATTTCTTTGTATAGGCTTGTGGGCTCGTTTCTAAGGTACTGATGCTACTAAAATTGGACTCCAGTAGGAAATACATGTTCCTGGGTTGAACAGTTTGGATGTTGTTATTTGTTTTGTTTATATTTGGCAGGGTTTTAAACACTTCTTAACTTGCTGTATTTTTCCTACAGAGGCTTTTAAGGCTATGTCAATATTATATTTAAAATACATTTTGACAGCGTAGTCTCCACCTATTTCTAGAGTACTGATAAAGTGATGTGCTTTGATCTCTATAAAATATGCCTTCATAGATTTTGGGGATCCGTGAATGGACTATATTTTTTCTTGTTTACTCCAGACCAAATCACGGATAATGAAGGAATTTCTAAAGTAATATACTGGTTTTCTGTGACAGTTCAGTCAGATGTATTTTATTTTTTCTTACTATGTAATTAGAAAAAAAAGAACCTCATTTACTGCTATATACATATATCGCTACAACAGGTATGTTACGGAGTAAGTCAAGTTAAACTGCTAACACCAGAATAAAGCATCGGTGAAGCAGTCTAGTGCACAGAGTACACTCTAGAAAGTTATATAAGATTGCTGTCCCAGTTCTGCAATCACTGAATGTAGCCTCCTGATTTTGACAGGAGGGTTTTTGTTTTCTTTTAGCCTTTCTCAGATATCCCGGATTCACAGATTAACAGATATATATATATATATATATATGTATGTATGTATGTATGTATAAAAAATGTATGTGTGTGTATAAAAAAACAGTCATACTAGCCTCCTTGCTGCATTTGATAATGATAGCTGGCTTAAGAAAAATGTGTGGGATGTGTCTTCTGTAAACAAGAAATTACTTGATACAGTTACTTTTAACTCTGAATGTACTCATAGACCTTTCAAAAAGAATAGGAAATGTAAGAAATCCTTAGGAACTGATTTTTAAGTAGGATACCTTGATTTCATACTTGGATTCTTTTGTGGCAATCAAATATTTGGCATTTTTGTAAGAAAAATGCCTAACATTCGCATGCAGTGAATTGCAGCGTGTTAGCATTTGGGCTCATGTTGTCTCTGAGTTAATTTCTGGTAAAAGTCCTGTGGTTTCTCTGGAGAAAAGAGAAATTTAATGCATCAAAAATACTGGTAAAATTTGGTTGGTAAAATACATGTTTTATACAGCTTCAAACTTTGAGGAGCTAACGTGTCCTCAGAGGTACTGGCTTCTTCTAGAAGGGTAGGTTATTAAAAAAATTGAACAATAAAGCCACAATAACTAGGCTTTTTTTTTCAGAGTAGTGCTAATTATACCTTATGTATTTATCTTACACTTCTTTTCAAATCTGTGTTTGGTTTCTCAAGGTCATTTGTTCTTAAGGGGTATTTGATGCAATCAAGACAGTAGGACTTTAAACATTTATTTTAAAGCTGACAACAAATTTTTTGATATAATGAGCCTGATTCTTAACTTTTTACCTAGGAAAAAACCTCTCGGTTAAGTCATTAGAAATATTTCCATAGTAAGGAGTGGAGATCTGGTCCATGAAGGGTACTGTAGTGCATATTCAAAATAATAGTAATTACATTTAAATAGGTCTTTTTATTTTGAGCAAATTCTGTTAAAACTAGTAGCAATTGCACATATATAAAGGGGAATGTATGCTTCTTAAACTTAGAAAGTGTTCTGAGTGGCATTAAAGTTACATTTTAGAATTTAACGTATAATGTATTTAATGGTGTGATAGTCACTGTTTCGCTAAATGATGATATAACCAGCATTTGCCTCTCAAATTTTGTTGGGTAACCAGATCATGGCAGATGTTAACTTTTAATTAAGATCATATAAATTATTTGCTTGTCTTTAGACAAGAACTGTGTAAATTAAAATTTTTTCAATCAGATAATTTTATGCAGCTTTGCTGTGGTGATTCTAGTTAGTGTACATTGAGAACAAGCTGACAAAGTTCAGAGACGGCAAGCTGGATCTCTCTTGAGAGGTACCCAGAACCAGTCATGCTCCTAGGATGCTGCTTCTCAGCATAATGATCTGCAGTTATTGGAATGTATTCACCTATAATACAGTATTTTTTCAGCTTAAATGATTTAAATGAGTTTACAACGCAGTATGAGAGATGGCTAATATCTTAGATATACAATGAAAAGGAACTGTGGTACCACAGATGCAAAATTATGTATCATCAGACTGTGAAATGATTATATTATATAGCTCAGGTTTGTGATGAAAGTTTCCTAAAAGGGAAGATGATCTTACAGAGGGTGAATGGATGTTAATAATTACCCTTGCCTTAAGTAAATCTTTTTTTTCAATGTCTGAAATGTTGTCATTGAACAGGAATTCTCTGGCCTGGTAAAATAGTTCTTTTTGAGTATTTAAAACAATAACAAAAATCCATACTGTGTTGGCTGACTGCCATGAAAAATTGCAATCGCTTTTAAGTAAGCCGAAGGTGTGGTAGTTTGGGGTTAAACATGCATAAGCGTGAAATGCTAGGATTTGATTTTATGCAGACTTTCCGTGCAGATACTTTGCAAATGAGCACTGATGGGTTTTACCAGTGGCATGGTAGGTCCAGACCCTCGTGCAGGGGGTGAGGCAGGGCCAGTGCCAGTGTCAGCCGTCACATCCTCCTGTCCCCATCGCCCTGTACCGCAGCTGCTCTGGACTCGCACCGCACAGCTTCACCCCAGGGTTTATCTGATATTAAAATGATGCACTTGCCTGATTTTCATACTCAACAATGAGAAAAAAAATTATAGCTTTAATCTTGGCTGTGCTTCAAATTAAGCACAAGAGTCTTTATTTATGCTTTAATGGCTTTTTTTAATTCTTTCCTTGTTTTTCTTGTTTGTTTTTTGTTTTTGTTTTCCTTTCTTCAGCTCAGGTACCTGACAATGACGAGCAGTTTGTGCCAGACTATCAGGCTGAAAGTTGTAAGTACAGTATAAATCAACACTTCCTTAAAAATGTATATTTATATTTGGGTCTTCATATTTGTTATTTATTGTGTCCTCTGTGGTCATGTGATAGCTCCTTTCGCCGATTGGTGACATCAGCACGATGAATAGATAAAGCAAGTGGCGTTTTGACATGCAGCCAAAAGAAATTGTTTAGGCTGAAGGTATAACTTTTAGCGGGGGGCCCTCTCTTGTAATTCCTACCCCCCCAGCCCCAGGGAGGCAAAGAAAAACTCACCTTGCGGAGGTGGAGGGAGTTCTGCTGTCCGTGGAGCAAGGAGCATGTTGAGCCTATAGAGATCAGATACTATGGGACATAGGAGGTAGCTCTGCCGAGCAGAAATCGGGCTGCTCAGTGAGTTTTGTGTATAAATAAAAAAATTAAAATTCTCCACATAATCAATCGAATACAGCCACTGCCGAAGCATTTTTAAGTCATCTTAGCATGTGTCATTTGATTGCTCAAACAAAATTTCCCTTTGAATTAATGGGAGGAAACAGGAGCTGTGTTAGGCTTGGATGCTTTGCATTGTTTGCTACTTTACTTAACGTGTGCCCAAACTTATTTTTTCAGCATGTACCCCTCAAATCTTGCCTTTATCTGCTGAAGGGCTACTTTTCTGTTAAACACTGGCTCCCCTTTGCTGTACCTGCTGTTCTGTGGTTTTGGGGGGGTTGCAAGAGTAGTAAAGAAGTGGCACGAGAAACATTATATGACAGCGTCACAGACTTCTTGGAACTACTTTATGCATCTTTCTTCCTCATTGCAAGGCTTCTCTCCATCATTACAGGTCTCTTCTAAACAGTGTCGGCTGATCGTAGCAGAGTGCATGGTAGCTTTTCGGTTTTGCTAAATAACTTAAGTAATTTATCCTATTGGAGTGAATTACTGCAGTTCGCTAAACCAGACAGCTGTTAAATACAGCATTCATGTACTGAAATGTTAAGATTAAAATTAGATTAAAAAGAATTTCATTAAAATACCCAAAAAACAAATTCAGACTTGTTGCATTTTTTTACAAATCATTTAGAGGATTTTTTCCAGTTATTCAGAAACTGTTTCAAGAAAAATTTATTGAGAGAATTCATAACAACATTTTCTGTGGAAAAAAGAAAGAAAAAAAGGTATTTTTGTCCCCTGGACTCTGATAGTATACTTGCACAGCAACAATTTATTTTGTTTTTGTCTTGAACTTCTGGTATATATACCAACCAACAATCTTGGTCACTTTTAAAGGTGCCCTTTGTAACAGATTTGGCTTTTTTCTTTTTTTCTTTTCCACATCTGACTTTAAAGACTTTTTTTTTTTTTTTAAAGTTAAATTATATGAAAGCCAAAACTGTTCTATAAGTTGAAAGTCTGATACTTTATCCTACATATGTAGCTGTGTCCAAATATAGTCATGTATGCATACATCCTTTGTGTAAGAGTACAAAGTTCAGTTAGGGCTTCTATTAACCCACAATTATCGTTGCACAACAAGTCAATGATTCTTGGAAAATAATTTGTGAACTGTGAATGAAAAGCCTTATTGAAGCTGGTCACTGGTTTTGGTGATAAAGAAATTCTCCTAATATGGCTATTTTATTAATGCTGTTGTATTTCAAAGTTCCTTAGCCACAGCTTACACAGTATTATCAAAGGAACATTTATTTCTTCATTTCAGTTGGTTTCTTTATCTTAAGTAAAGGTCAGGAGAGCTTCCTGGAGAGTTACTCTGGCAAAGGTTATGGAGTTTCAGACATGTACTTGGATATAATGTATGTAGCTGTGGGCTCTGCGAAACAAGAACGGAGATCAACATAACCAAAGCCACGGGGAAATTACTGCTGCAGAAGTAGCACAATTGTGACTGTTTTCTCTAGGATGCAAACCTGCCTTCGAACTCTATTATAATTACTTACTATATATAATCTATAAGTCTGTACAGTACTCACCCTGTTACTGGCAGCAGACTGGCAGGAGCACTTGGCTTTTTTTTTTTTTTTTTTTGATATTTTTTTTTTTAAACACGGGAGAGGGTGGGGAAGCTTCCATAGGTTCATTGTTTAATAGATTTAATTGAGCCGAAAATGGTGAAGGACAGAAGCATAAACCAGTGAAAGAGGCCACAGCCACTTTTGGTCAGAGGCAACCAAACAGTGATTTTTCCTGCACAAATTTAATTTATGGAGCTGTATATAGGTAGGGGTGTGTGCGTGTGATATTCTGAGTATGTAAAGAAAATTGAAGTGCTCCACTGAAACAGTTAGAGTCTGCAGTCCAGGTACAAACATTAGTGACATTTTATTCCTAGCTTCAGTGCTTGAGAAGTGGGCTTTAAACCTGAGGTAGATTGTGGTCTTAAACTGAAACTTGTAACATTGAAGAGTTGTAAGAAACCTCAGTAACCGGAGCAGTGATGGAAAGCTGTGGTTAAAACTTTCTTGCCTAGATATCACCAACTTCCTCAACTCTTGAAGCAAAGATGTGAAAGGTGATGGAGGAGCTGATATTGCTGAGATCACGTGTGGTGTCCTAGTGCTGAGCAGGACTAAATGCCCCTTAAAGCGCTGAGGGTTTTGCATTTTTTTTCTGTAACGTTAACTAGTGAAACTGCACTGGTATTAGTAACTAAGGGAAACATTTAGTTTAGATTAGATATACAGTCCATTTTATCCACTTAGGGATTTAACTTCAAAGCTAGCTTGGGACCATGAATATTTCAATTATGAGTTGCTATTAAACTTAAATCAGTTTTCAAAAAGCAAATATAACATATATATATATTTATAGTTAGGTGTGGGCTTTGGATATTATGAGATCAACAGCTAGCATAACTTCATGTGATACTGACATTGCTGGAATCGCGCCTATCTCTACTAGCCTAAGGATCCATCATGACAAGCTTCCCCTTAATGCTTTAAACTTCAGTGCACCAGTTTAAAGTTGAATTTATTTTGTTACTCCATTATGTCTTCTGGAAAGAGGTCCTTCCTACATAATGTTCTTAGAAATGTCTGTGCTTCCAAACCTTTCTTTTCTGTCACAGCATCCAAAGCTCCATCTTGTATTACCTTTTTATTAAATGTTTTTTTAACTTTGCATACCTATCACAAAGAATGTTTCTGTAGTTTAGCTCAGAGAGTGCAATGAAGAGTAGTTAACAACTAACCTGTTCAGAAGAAATTTGAAAAATCGCAGTTTAGTTTCTTGTAACCTGCTTTCTGCAACAACTGAACTTTTTGAGTTCTAAGGGAGAAAAATATATATCGAAAATACTATTTTTTTTTTTTGCCTGCAATTATACTGGAAAAATATCACAATTGCATATTAAACTGTGTAATTTTCTTACTCTCATTTCTGTTCTCATAAGAAACAAAAATTTCACAGGAAGAGGGAGGAATCACTTTTACAGACGTTTACTTGGAAATTCTGTGTTAGGCAGGTTGGTTTGCCCCATTCTGAATCTGATTCTACACTTTACCTGACCCGTTTGCTGTATATTCAAGTTAATTCCTCATTACTCTTGTTCTAACAATTACATAAAAAGTTGTATAAAGCAAAAATTCAAAACCTGTTTCTCCAAAAAGGTGAATGCTTTTTTTTTTTTTTTTTAAAAAAAAAAATCAGCATTCTTTTTGTGATTCCAAATTCTTACCTAATTCATAAGACTTAGTTAAGCTGTTTTTCTGTCCGTACAAAGTCAGTGTTCACATGTCGAGAAGGGTGACCTGTGTTAACTTCCTCAGATAAGGTTTCCTATTGTTTCAAGTCCATTTTCATATACTGAGGAGGAGCCAGATCCTGAACTGGTTGTAATCAGTGGTGAGACTTTCAGATACTGTAGAACAGCAAGGACTTTCCAATCTAGGAGTAAAAATGAATGTTAAGTTTGCTCGAAGTCAATAGCTATTGAGGTGAAGATTGCTTGCTCCCATTGTTTGGATGGTTTCTTTGACAGACATGAGGAAGTAGGTAGGATTTGCTGATGTTTAAAGGATGTAGTTGTCAAAGAAAACTTGGTATTGTCAATAATACGCTGATTTGTAATTTGACCTTGGTACAGTTGGTTATAAATGGGGATTAATTACCCTGCACGAAACCAGATTGCCTGGTGTCTTAATAGCATAATCATGTTTTGTTTTGTTTTAATAATATGTATTTACATTGGACTGTTCTTCCAGAGTTTGTTTGTTTGTTTGCTGTTTTCTTTCTTCTTTTGCTCTGTAATGTAGGTTATCCGTTTAAAATTCATTATAAACTCTAGCTTTTTTGCTTTTTATTTGTTGTTGAATTTCTGCTAATGAGGATTTGTATTGTGCTTCACCTCCTTGATCGGTTTCCTTTCTTCTCTTTCATTTCGTTCCTGTATTGTTTCCCTGACCATCACAGCCGCAGCCTTAACTTAACACTGCCAAGGGGTAAATGTTAATGTTAGACCACAGCTGTTGACAGTAAATGGGAAGGGCTGGCTGTAAAATCTGTGCTCCTCAATGTCTGATTAAACTTTTAAGATAGGAAAAATACTTTTTTAGTAGTGATTTTGTCACTGATCTTTCACGACCTTTATTTTTTCTCTTACCTCTGTTTTTTTTTCCTCCAGGTTTAGCAGAGGAGCTCTTTCAATGTAGATGCCAGGAGCCTTAAATTATTCAGAGATGTGCTTTTTAGATGCTCTGGCTTGCAACCTTTAAAAGCCTGTTAAAGAGATTCTTTACATAGGCTTCAGGTAGCTGTATTCTTCTGTCATTTTAACTAATGGCTTAGGATATTGCGAATGCAGTTAAAATGAGGAGAAGCTTTAATATTTATTTACATGTTTATAGCCTACAAAATCATGGTGCTTGTTTGTTTTGTTTTGTTTTGTTTTGTTTTTTCCCACTGTCAGGTGAAAAATGCTCTGTTTGTTTTTATTTCTCTCGCTTTCTGTGACTTAAGTTTCAAAAGTGAATTTCAGAACCAGAAGAGTATTTCCTGTTTGCTTTAGTATAGC